GGGGGAGCCGGACGCCGAGCAGACGAGGCGGATCTCGTCCCCTCGGGAGAAGGTTCTGCCCCGCGGCTGAATTTCCACTGAAGGAGCCTCTGCAGAAAGAACGATGACGTCATTTACAACTTCCCAGCAGGCAGTAAACACCTCATTATGTGTACTGCAGTTGTGTACTCCAGTTGTGTACTCCAGATGTGTACTCTGATGTAGTTTCCAGGTTTTCCTTCTGGTATACCGCGGTTTGCGAGGACACATTCTCATGTTATTTGTTTGTGATAAAAAAAACTTCTGACTAGGAAGTGATTGTTTTGTTTTTTTTTTCACATGGCCACTATGGCATTGTATGACAGTCTGGCAGGTATGCTAAACTGCAAGGACACCAGAAAATAGTTTTAACCACATTATGTTTGAGCTAGACTCAGACCCAGAACAAGACCCTGAATACTTCTGGATGTTTGGCAGTGGTTGATGCGTTTCCAGCTATTGCAGATTATGAAAGATGTTGTTGTGGGAACTGTCTGTTAAGGATTTGATACTCCTACAGACGCTACGATATGTGCATAAACCCCTTTCAATTATTTTTTTTTTTTTATTTCCCCTTTAAGGCGAGTGTTTCTCTGTCACGAAATCCAAATTTTATTTAAAAAAAAAAGTGTTTTGCTCAGATCAGCAGACAGAATAAACATTAGTTACTGACTAAACAAATATTGACATTTGTTTCCCTGCCTCTGCAGTCATTTATGTATGTTTGTGTTCATGCTGGTTCATGCACCAAGGTGTACGCATTTAATTAGTCAAAATTATGCAAAGCGCGATTTAATTAGTATCTAATTGCTTTGTGTTGTTGTTGTTGTTTGTTTGGTTTTTTTCGTTGTGGCACGTGTTCATACATACTTATTTGTTTCTGCCTTTTTTCTGCCGTTGATTTACTTACTGACATCAGTAAAAGATGGTTTTGTGAATTGATGTTTTTTTTTTTTTTTTTTTTTTGTGCTCAATCTCCCATGATGCAATGGCAGAATTCCTGCGACAAAGACATGTTTGGTTAGCTGCAAAAAATTAGCAGAAAACACTTATCAAACGTTACCAGTAGGGATGTCCGAATTAGCAGAAAACAGTTCTTATCAAAAACGTTACCAGTAGGGATGTCCGACAATATCGTCGGACCGATATTATCATCTGACCGATATTATCGCCCGACCGATATTATCGTTCGACGGATATTATCATCCGACTGATATTATTGGCGGATATTGTCGTCTGACCGATATTATCGCCCGAACGATATTGTCATCCGACCAATATTGTCATCCAACCAATATTATTGGCCGTCCGATAACATCGTCCGACCGATGTTGTCCGACCGATATTATCATCCGAATTATATTATTGGCCGTCCGATAATATTGTCCAACCGATATTATCGTCCGTCCGATATTATCGTCCGACCGATATTATCGTCTCACCGATATTGTCATCCGACCGATATTATTGCCGTCTGATAATATCGTCCGACCGGTATTATCGTTTGACCGATAATATCAGCCGACGGATATTATCATCTGACCGATATTATCGTCCGATCGATATCGGCTGATATTAGCATAGTATGTAGTATCCGTAAGAATCGTTATCGGTTTTTCCTCCGATAATGAAAACCCGATAACGCCATACCTGGGTTTCGCCAAATGATGTGTTGTAAAAATAATTTTGGGGAAAAAGTCTGTATGTTAAAGTCACCGATATTGTCATCCGACCGATATTATTGCCGTCTGATAATATCGTCCGACCGGTATTATCGTTTGACCGATAATATCAGCCGACGGATATTATCATCTGACCGATACATACCTGGATTTTGACAAATGATGTGTTAAAATAATTTGGGGGAAAAAGTCTGTATGTTAAAGTGACCGTCACTAGATGGCAGCATTGCAGCTCATTTAACTAATCTCGTACTCGTACGGTGGTTCGTACTGATAAATAAATAAATATGAGCAGGTCTACGTCGGTATCGGTTGGTATCGGAATCAGAAACGAAGTGATCGGACAATATCGGCCAATCAGACATCGGCAAAATATGGGGGCCACCACTCACTGAAAGAGCCTCTCTGCCCCCAGTGTTGTTTGTGAGCAGCACTTCCGTCCTAGCTCTTTAGTCTGCCGGTGTTGCTCACCTCTGTGAGTTCGGTGCTCTGCTTCCTGTTGACAGTGATTCAGGTTGGAGTATTTTCTGGGGAAATCACGATCGTAATCTTTGAGGTTTGTTTGAGTGGAATAATGTCCTATTGCTGGTTGCAGAGACTGATGAAGTGCGTGTGAGCGCCGTCTCCGTCCTGCCTGGAACGATGTTGGTGTAGGAGACACTGGACAGTCTCTGGAAGCGGTGCCCCCCCGCGTCTTTGCCCGTCACCCTGATGAAGAAGCTCTGGGAGGGGGTGCGGAACTCGGGGAGACTCCACAGACCCTGCCGGCCCAGGGCGGGGGGGAGCGGCGCACGGGGAGTGTCCGCAGGGAGCGGCCGGATCCTGACATGAGTTCAACGTGGCTCAGCTGGCCCGGGGGCTGCAGACCGGTACACTTCAGCAGCACGTGGGCCGGAATTCCTGAAGATTAGAAAGTATTAGTATTAGTAGTAGGAGTAGTAGTAGTAGTAGTAGTAGTAGTACTACTTCAGTTCGAAGTTCAAAGTGACTCATCTGACACCTTTGATCGGCCTCTCTCTGGTGGAGCTGAACTCTGACACAGGAACGCTGGAGAATCCAGCACGGAAGTCCAGGTTACTGACGCCAGTGACCCTCAACATGTGGCGTCCACTGCAACTGACCTTCAGAGGGAGGAACCGTCAGTGGTCAGTGGTCAGTGGTCAGTGGTCAGTAACAGACCGACCGTCTCCAGTACCGTACCTTGAGTTTCCAGGCTCCAGGACGTGGAAACTTGAGGCTGACGATCAGAGCAGAGTTGTGAATGTTCAGGAGCTCCTTCAGACCCTGGTCCTCACCAACAACAACACCTGGAGGAGGAAGAGGAGGAGGAAGAGGAAGAGGAAGAAGAAGAAGAAGAGGAAGAAGAAGGAGAAGAAGGAGAAGAGGAAGAAGAAGAAGAAGAAGAAGAAGAAGAAGAAGAGGAAGAGGAAGAAGAAGAAGAAGAGGAAGAAGAAGAAGA